TACATTTGCACATTAGTGATGTTGTAGGGAAGAACTAGAACCAACAGAAGGAACCATCAGAAAGAGGAAATAAAACAAAACAGAAGAAAAAAAATGGCAAAGAGTCTGCTTCGATCTGCATTCAAACTCCATAGTTCTTTCTCTGGATGAGGATAGTATTTTCCACCATGAGACCTTTGGAGATGTCTTAGATCCTTGCATTGCTGAGAAGGGCTAAGTCTATCAAAGTTAGTCATTGCACAATGTGGCTGTTACTGTGTACGATGTTCTCCTGGTTCTGCTCACTTCATTCAGCATCAGTCCATACAAGTCTTCCCAGGTTTTTCTGAAATCCACCTGCTCATCATTTCTTATAGCACAATAGTATTCCCAAACCCAGGTTCTTTGGTTCCAAATCTATCACTAATAACTCATGAAGTTCATGAAGTTCAAGAGACTGGGATTCAGATATCATCTAGTCCATCCCCAACATTTTACAGATCAGGAAGCTAGGGCTAAGTAGTTAAATGACTTTCCCAAGGTCTCAAGGCAGTATATTTTTTGAAGGCTGCATCTGAATCCAGGTCCTCTCCCTCCACAGGCAGTTTATTCTTTGTACCACACTGCCTCCTGACCTCACATGACTATTGTGCACCTTTTCACCCTTAAAGTGTTATGGAAATGTCAGTTATTATTATCGAGGAAACACTGTTCTTGAGTTTCTTTTTGCAATACGTGTATTCTGGGGATGGATTGGGAGGGGGACTAACTTGAAAAAAAAAACAAAAACAACAACAACATGAAATTGGTGGGAAGTGTGATGTGTAGGTGAGGCCGTGTGAAAGTTGGTGCTGTAATCCAAAGAGGATCAAACTCAACAAGTCTTGGCTTGGTCACTAACTATGTGACCTTGGGCCAGTGACTTCACTCTCTGGATGTCTCCTCCTCTGTAAAGTGAGAAGCCTGGAGTAAATGATTCCCAAGGTCCCTTCCAGCCCTATAAGCTTATGGACAGTGATTTGGGTGAATCTTTCTTTGTGAGGATGTGCAAGGCAATCACTATGCAAGCGGAGGAAGGGTTCATGAAAGTTCCATTTTTCCCCCTGACTGAACCTGTGATCTCTTCATGGTAGGGAACTCCCTTTGCAACTTCCAGTCTTAGAGTTGGGGGGAAGGGAGGGGTGTCACTGAAAACTGATTTCCCCAGGGTATGTATACAGACACTATGTTTCAGAGGCAGAATCTGAATCTAGTTCTTACAGGCTTGGAGATAAACTCTCTATCCATCACACTATGAGTCCTCTCTAACTGTTACATTAATTCAACTATATCAGCTTGATTTAAGAGAAAGAGCAAAGGGTTCAAAGTCAGGACTTGAGTTCAAGACCCAGCTCAGCCCCATTCAATAGCTGTATAACCTTGGACGAGTTATCTGGCCTTACTTGAACCTCAGCTCCCTTGTCTAATAAATGGAGATACATATATACACACACAGAAACACACACAAAATCTCCATATATGTATGTATATATAACCTCCACATGATATATGTATGCTTATGATCTCCACATAATACACGTATTATATAGAGATATAATCTCCATATATGTATATATGTGTATATATATAATCTCCACATAATATATGCATATGCACATATAATCTCCACATAATACATATGCATATATAATCTCCATGTAATATGTGTACGTATAATCTCCATGTAAGATATATAGTATATATATGACCCCAATATAATACATGTGCATGTGCATATACATATATAATATGTGTTATATATAAAATAGGTATACATACACACACATATAAATCTCCACATATGCTGACGGGAAGCTGAGCTGTGATTTCATTTACATAGGAAACTTTAAGGTGGGGAAACTCCCTGTACCAAATCCTGGTGTGCTTGGCATTATCGGGAGGGAAACATGATTGTAAGCAGCAAGAGATACACATGCTGGATCTACTCTGTCCACCCCATGTCCCTTTTTTTCCCAGATACCCCGGCAATGACAGCAAGAGGCCACACCGAATACAAATACGGCACCTTCTCTACAACTCAAAATCCTAACTAAAGAGTTAATTTGAGCACTAAGAGTTTAAGTGATTTTCTCAGGGCCATATGGTCAACATGTGTCAGAGTCTGAATTCATGACTTTCTGGCTTCAAGGCCTGCTTTCTAGCACTCACACACACATACACACACACACACACACACACACACAGAGCATATTACTACACCTATATTACAAGAATGTTGTGATGATCAAAAGGGATAGAGTAAAAGTACTTTGTAACTGTGAAATGCTCCATAAAAGTGAGCTATCATAGAATATGCTTTTAATAGAAATGCCAGTTTTATGGAATAAAAGCCCATAGATCCAATTTGGCTTGGCAACCAAGGTTCATGGACTTCCAGCTAGAATCTGCTTTAAACACACTGGCAGCATGTTAGCCTGCCCTAACAGCCCTCAATTCAATTTAACTGTACCTTTCTAGGCCTTCCTCGCCTCACCTCACCTCTCCAACCCCACCCTTCCACACACCCGGGGATAAGGTAGCTAAGCCAGTCTGCATTACCTTCCTTCCTAGCCACCCCCATCATCCAGCAGGCAGCTGGGGAGAACCCTACCATTTTACCCGAAGAGGGAAGAAAGCGGAGCCACTAAGGAAGGATAGGAAGCTAACTCTGCTAGAGACAGACATTACTATTTGCTGGCATGGAGCAGGCTTCAGTAGGCTTGAGGGAATGGCTCTGGAACCAGTGTGATACACTGGAAAAGACTAGGACATTTAGACACAGAAAACCTGGATTCCAACCCAGGGCTGTTATTTAATACCTGTGTGACCTTGGGCAAGGCGCTCCTGCGAGCGTGAGCTTCCTCACATGTAAAATGAGGAGGTTGGACCAGATAATCTATAAAGTCCTTTCCAGCTCCAAATTCTATGACATTCTGACCCTTTGAAGGGTACTAAAATTCCTAACCTACCATGGCTCCTGCCCTAATCCCAGAATTCTTCAGTGATTAGTTCTAATAACTCAGACCAGGAGAGAGCAGGCCCCACCTGCTGACAAGGAGAGCTTGCCCAGGGCCTGACACTCAGCTGGTGGTGGCTCTGTTCCAGGGAAACCCTGCTGACTTGGACCTGAAGTCAATCCCCAGTTTTACAAATAACCCTTTTTACAGAGTAATCTCAGGGCTCTAGACAAGGAGTCAGGAGACCTGAGTTTTAGTCCTGGCTTTCCCAGGACTGTCACTTCCACCCATTACTTCTAGGTCAGTCCTCTGGGAGCAAGCAGAAATCACTTTTCTCTCCCCCCACATCCTTTCTTCCATCCCCTCCCCTCCTCCTGACTATGTGACCTCAAGCAAACCTCTTTTTCTTTCTGGGTCTCCATTTCCTCCCATACAAAAAATTCCTGGGTTCCCGTTTGGAGTATCTTCTATGTTTCTCTGTTTCCCATCCATTCCACAGAATTGGGATTTCAGGAGATTTATCAACACCTCTCCCAATCAATTAAATAAGACAGATAGAAAGGATTATCTGTAGAGTCTGTCCCTCAGAATCCTGGTCTGTCTTATGGACTGCACCAGGAATCGTGGGAAAAGAAAAAAAGGGAGGCTCAAGAGAGGGGAGTGACACCCAGAGAATATTAGAGCTTAAAGATCATCTAGCCCATTTTACAGATGGGGAGACAGAAGCCCAGAGGAAGGAAGGGGCACCTATTAGTGTAGCTGATAATGAGAATAAGTAATCACTAAATTGTATGAGTCAGAATTTAATAATAAGGTCAAAAGTACAGCCATTCACACTCAAACTCTGTACTCAGGAATTAGAAATCCTCCCCCTAACTACTCCTCAATTTTTTAAAAGTCATTAAAAACTCTGAAGCACCAAGGTGATGGAGGCTGCAGACTGGCTCATTCTGGACACAGCCGGTTTCCTGCGACATTTGCACTGACAGGGAACACTGGTTCCACGTGCCCGAGTGCCCAGCCTTGGACAGTTCTAATTATCAGGAAATATTTCCTTATATTTCTTCCTTATAACTGCCTCCCTTGAACACTCATCCATTGCTTCTAGTTCTGTCCTTTGAGGTCAAGCAGAACATCTCCAATCTTTTTTTTTGGAAGACAGCTTTTCAAATAAATTCTTAAAGACAGATATCATGTTTTCCCCTAAGTCTTCTCTTCACTAGACTAAAAATGTCCTTATTTTCTTCAACCAATTCAAGCAGCCTGATCACAAGAACTTTCAGTGCTCTGGTCAATCCTCTTCAAGACACTCTGTACCTTGTTTATCAATGTCACCCTCCTTCCCCTTCCAAAAAAAAAAATGAGGAACCCAGAACTTAATACTGGACTCCAACTGTAGCCTGACCAGGGCACAGGATATCCCTCATTCTGGATACTACATATATACTCAAGATTCAGTGCTTATGTAGACAGAACACGTGTGAAGACCTACCCTCAAGGAGCACACTTGAACTAATGATAGGTACCTGATATCTTGGATTGCTTATCAAGATAAATGGGGCCAACCCAGGGGTGGGGAACCGTGGCCTTGAGGCAGCAGGTTCCCCACCACTGGGCCAACTTCCTTCCTAGAATGATCACCTGTCCCTTCACCTTTGTTTCCCTTGCTTCTCCTTCTTCAGCTAAAAAAAGGAAATGCTTATAGTACAAAAGGGCAGGGAACAATCCTCCAGTCTCACTCAGGGCTGGGTGTACAGATGTACAGGCTGGTCAGAAGCAGTGCAATATATAGAGAACTGGTTAAGAGTCAGCGACACAGGGTTCAAGTCTTTCCTCTGACCCTAACTTGATTTATGATCTTTGAAAAATCATTTCCCTACCTCAGGCTTCAGTTTTCCCATCTGCGAATGGCAAGAGATGAGGAGTTTGGGACAAGATGTTCTCTAACAGCCCTTCTAGCTTGGACACTCTAATAAGCAGCTGTCATGCTCATGTCCCACCCATACCACTCTTCCATATACACACCTTGACCATTCATGTCGCATCATCAGAGGATCAGAAAAAAAGTGGATCTTCACCCCTGTGAATGGAAGAGAGGGTGTTGGAAGGTCAGGGGAGTTAGAGAGAGTATAACAAGGAATGGGATTCCATCACAAAAAGGCTATAACCTAATTTCACTAAATTAGAAATATGCAGAACCAAAAGTTAAGGATCAGAATGAGTCATGCTTTCCCCAAAGAGTTATTAGTTCAGTGGTATTTGTGGTGCCAGCATCCACAGTCATAGAACAGCTGAGTTGGAGGAGACTTTGGAACACAGAATGTCAGAGCTGGAAGGGACCTTAGAGATAATCAATCCAGTCGGACCCTTCAAACTGAGAAGAGAAGTCATCTACCTATGGCCACACACCAAACTGTAAGAGAAGAAATCAGACTAAAATCAGGAGGTCTACCTCTAAGACCAGAGTTCTTCATCTCATTTTATGCAGTCTCAGGGCTAACAGTCATAGAGTATGGAGGCAAGATGTAAATCTGTCAGGCTTCATATCTACACGACTCAGGCAACCTCAGTGAGAAAAAGCTGAGGGAGCACAGCAATGGGTTAGAGCACTGGGACCTGAAGTCAAGAAGATCCAGGTTCAAATCCTACCCCAGCCACTAGCTGTGTGACCTTAGGCAAATCACTTAAGCTCTCTCAACTTCAGTTTCCTCATCCATAAAATGGGGATGGGGCAGCTACATGGCTGGATAGAGCGCCAGGTCTGAAGTCACAAAGACTCCTTGGGTTCAAATCTGGCCTCAGACACTTACTAGCTGTGACCCTGGGCAAGTCACTTAACTCTATTTGCCTCATTTTCCTCATCTGTAAAATGAGCTGGAGAAGGAAATAGTAAACTGCTCTAGTATTTTTGCCAAGAAAACCCCCAATGGGATCATGAAGAGTCAGACACAACTCAACCACAAAAGAAACAAACAAAAACAAAAGACCTAGGGATAACAATAGTACTTACTTCACAGCTTTGTTGTGAGGATCAAATGAGGTAACATGTACAGCACTTTGCAAACCCTAAGCTGCTATAACACTAGCTATAATTAATAATAACAAATGTTTTTTAAAGTCCACAGTGAAACTAAAGACCTAAGTATGGCCTCATGCTGTCATTGCCAGATTTCTAGAGAGCAGTAGGCACAAAGCGCAGTTGATGGTGGTGGTAGAGAAATCCCAGTGTGTATTTGACTTGCTGTTTACGACTGTGTTTCCCCATGGATAATGACAAGCACACCTAGGATCATAACTAAGACTATCTAAAATGTACTAGAACATCAGCTTCTTGAGGACAGAGACTGTTACCTCTACTATCTCCCAAAGTTTGTCCAAGCTCATGTTTGCTATTTCCATGACACATTTATCCATCTCAACCTCTTTCATTCCTTTCTCCATTTGCCTGGCACATGGTAAGTGCTTGATAAATGCTTATTGGCTGACTAGTTGAGTGAAGGAACTTGAAATCATGTCGCAAAAGAACTGGCTGAATGAACTGAAAAGAAATGAATGAAGGAACTGAGAAACCTGGAGAAGAGAATTGAGAAGTCCATGGTAACTCAGTCTCAAATATCCAAGCAGCTGCCATAGGCAAGGGGATTAGAAAGACTAGCTCCCCAAAGGCAAAACTAGACTCACTGAGGGAAGGGAGAAACACAATAAACAGGTCGTGACAGATTTTGACTCAAAATAAAGATAAATTTCCTACCAATTAGAGCTGTTCAAAAATTGGAATAAGCTACCTTCCTGACACTGGAGATCTTCGAAGGAATACTGAGATCAGTCAGTTGGGTAGGGGTTACGCTAACTGCCCTCTGACACCTCTTCCACATGGGATTCGGTGGTTCTTCAATTTGCAGGATTCGTTCAATGTCCTGCCCAACTCAGCTGGACCCCACACCCACAAATCCCTAGACAAACTTAGATAGCCTATGAGACTGCTCTTCACAGTCAGGCCCTCTTTCCGAACAGTACAAAAGTCCCACTCATACACAATGACACAGGCAAAGTCTGGAGCTTCTCCATCTACTACTAGTGGGAACAATTCCTGAATTCAAACGCTTGGAAGTGATTGGTTAGGAGGAGTCCTCTCTTATTCAGACACAATGGGATGAAAGTTCTTCCTTAGGAAGAGCATAGAGAATCAGAAGCATAAATATAAGCATACAGAGGCATAAAGAAGGTCTCTTCCTGATGGAGATGTAGGGCATTAGCATAGGTGGCCAGGAGTATCAACTTTGACCTTGTTGGAATTCATGTCCCCTATGCCAATGTCTGAAGAAACACCCGGGAACAAGAAAGGCATTTCCAAAAAGAAACCAGGCTATTTACAGTGATGGAGTGAAAATGGCCCTATAATAACTATCCTCAGATACATTATGGTCCATAGGCTACCATGGACTAGCCTAGGGGCTGTTCCTATGAGAAACTGGTACTGGGCAGAATCAAATCTGGTATCACCAGGCTCCACTGAGAAATACTCCTACGTAATCCTCCTGGTGACCTGAAGGAGAGCTGCAGAGGAAATAGATGAGCCAAAGAGATCAGCACATGACTAGCAATTCCCCTGAGCCTTCTGAGAATCATCTACTCACATAGCTTGGATTCCTCTGGGACCACCAGTCAAAGAAAGCTTAGGACTTTGCAAAGGAGGAAGCCAAAATGAGGGCAAAGCCAGGGCTCCTAATTCCAGCCAAAGATGGAAGGCTTAGGGACTTAGTGCCTCAGTGTGCCTCTGCCTCTCCATCCCTGCCCTCCCATTCCTTCCCAGAGAAGTGTCCACTGATGATAAGGAGGGAAGACTTTGCTTTATTTTATTTTTTCTGCTTAGCCCTGGGCTTGTTCTCTGAAGCAGCAGGCTGGAAGTTAGAAGGGAATTTCAAGCATCTGGCCTTTTCCCAGGCCAGTCCTCTCGGGTTCACTTTAGGGCACCTGCCATGAAGGAGGCTGGAGAAAGAGAGTTCTCTGATTGGACCACATACATAAGAAGCCCCAGAGATATCCCCTAGTGCCAAGTAGTTAAGAACACCCGGAACCATGTGACTTTAGGCTCTGGCTATGAATAGAAGGTCTGGGATTTTCCCCCAATACTCTCTTTCTTCCTCTCCCTCTCTCTCTCTCTCTCTCTCTCTCTCTCTCTCTCTCTCTCTCTCTCTCTCTCACACACACACACACACACACACACACACACACACACACCTCCCTTTTAGGGTCAAGAGCAATTCAGAATTTTCAATCAGACTAATTTAGGGGAAAAAAAGCTTTGCACTAGAGTCAAAGAATCTCATAGCTAGAAAAGACCTGAAGAAGTCTTCTGGTTCAATCCCTACCTGAAGCAGGAAGCCACCCAAACTCACCAGTTGTAAAATGCTTGTTTCTTTAGAAACTTTGGGATCTGTCAATCCTAAGACGTATTTGGCCTCTAAGATCTGTTTCTGAAAAAAGTCTTCCTCATTCAACACTCCACTCTGGTGGATCTAATAAACAGCCCCCAGATAAATGAGTCATTTATGCTTCCCTTAAATATACCACCCCCAGAGAAGGCATTAGCAATGAATTCTTTTCCAGACACAGAACATCTAGTTATTATTTTCTCAGACATAGAAGGGATCTTAGAACACAGGATTTCTGGGCTGAAAGGACTTGAAAATACAGAATGTCCATTGGAAGTGACTTTAGGACACACAGGCCATCTATCCTAACCTTCTCCTTTGACAGGTGGACCCAGAAGGGGGAAGTTTATCTGCCCAAGGGGAAAGTGAGTATATAGTAGAAACCAGCCTAGAACCCAGGCTTCCCAGACCTAGACCAAGGTTCTTTCCATTGCCCCCCCCTTTCAGGAAGCTCCCCCAACAAGGGAGAACAGGTTAGAGATCCAGCTGTCACTCCTGGCCCAACCATCAGAGGGGGCTATAAACCAAGAAATATTAATTCACATCCCCACTTACATAAGCCAGTGGAAAACACAAGTTTCAAAGTTTAAAAAAAAAACTGTCAAAGTCTGTGTCCTGTCCCATTTCCATGACTCCAACCAATTTATTGCTCTGAGAAGGCATCTGCCCCAGGGATGACATCCTGTAAGGCCACTGGGGAGAGGGCTGCCCAGGAGCCTGCTCTCTGGTCCCTCACATTGAACAAAAAGTTAAGTTCATTAAGACTCAGGTCATATTCTCCTTCTATGTTGTCTAGGGAAACAAGCCCATGCTGGCTGTTGTTAGCTGCAAAGTCTGCTGTGCAAATTAGCTCATCTCAAGGCTCAAGACTACTGATTCAAACTACACCAGGGTTTGTCCCTGTCAAATGGCTCATGGAAGGAAAGGCAACCCTATTAGGATGTTAAACCACTGTGGAAGGGCAGAGCCTGAAGGGTCTTGAGATCAAAGCTGGGAAGGACTTCAAAGATCGTCTAATCTGATGCCCTCACTAGATAAAGAAGGAACTGAAGGCCAGAGAGAAAAGACTTGGCCTGCAAAATCAAAGCTCCCTGAGGGCAGAAATTGTTTTATTTTTGTTGCACCCATTATAACTTTAATTAATATTCCCTGAATTAACTGAATTGAATTGCTCAAGGAAGCCAGTGAGCTAGTATGGTAGCAGTAAATAAAAGCTTGCTCCTGGAGCACTGAAGGGTCAAATCCTGAGAGAAATCAAGATCCTGGAGCTTGAGATGGGACTCATTAAATTCCTGAAGTCACCCAAGGTGCCATCCCCTTCCCACTCTGGTAGGACTGCCAGGACTGGTTGGGAACCTTTAGAGTTCACCACAGTTCCATTGCATCTGCATTCAAAATCTACCAGGATAGGAAAGGGGTTCCTTCTAGGGCAGATTGTGGCATTCACAGGCCAAGTCAGGAAACCTCTGCTCTTAGGAAAAGTCAGAGAGGCAGTGGGCTAGCAGAACTTTACCTCAAATTTGTATAGTTCTTTACTATGCCATAGATGCTTGTTATTCCTATTTTATAGATGAGAAAACTGAGTCTCTGTTCAGTGAAATGACTTGCCCAAAGTCAGATGACCAGAGCCGGGCCTGGAACTCAG